CGTTTTCCTTATTGCTTTGGCAAAGCGTAGTGCATTCAACGGTTGGTGTCTCTGTGTCAGCCACGGCATGCGATCCTCGCATCAGCTGACTGGTCGGCTCGGACGGTGAACAGGAGCCTGGGTTAGGAAAGTGAGAACAATATCGACTCTCTTAGCACGCATTCCTCCTTATTATTAATCTGGCAGGCCTTTAAATTACCACCGTTAGTTAAACGTCTTTGCTTACGGGACTATTCGGACTTCTCAGGACGGGTGTCAGGTTACAAGGCCTCCTTCTTGTTATAGCCTCTGTGGAACTTCCATTCTGTTGGGGTCCAAGCTACATCATTCCCTTTCTTTGATGCATGAAATCCTGGTTCATTCTATGAAAGGGGGTGGAGCTGCACGCCTAGACGCAGGTTCACGTCATGCTAGCCACCTGTGCCCCACCCAGCCTCCGGTAGTCTTAAATCTGTAGTGTGGAAACAGCTACGTTTGTGAGACAGAGGGTGGTTGCTGTTGTAGTGTAGGATCTGTCTCGTGTCGGTGGATTTTCTGACAAATGTACGAACAAATAAAAGGCACGCCTATGGGCTCCGCTCTAGCAGGCCTAATCGCTGAGGTAATTCCTCAACGAATAGAACACTTGGTGTTCACCAAGTATCAACCAAAGTTCTGGACTCGCTATGTCGATGACAACTCCGTCCTTGTCCAAACAACTGACGTCGAGCACCTAAAGGAACCACTGAACTCGGTTGACCCGGATATCTAATTTACGATGGAAGCAAAAAAAACAACCAACTGCCCTTCCTTGACGTGCTTGTGCGCCGGTATACAACTGGACAACTACAAACAGCAATGTTCCGAAAATCCAGCGACACAAGACAGATCTTACACTTCAACAGCAACATCCTCTGTCTTACAAAAGCAACTGTGTCCGCACTCTATTCGAAAGAGTCGAAACATACTGCAGCACGCCAGGAGATAAAAGAGCCGAACGAATGTATCTTCAGAACCTCTTTGCAGCCAATGGTTATCCCAGACATTTTATCGACAGGAGCAGACGTCGGGCGTACAGACGACGGCCAAATGAGCAACAACCTGAAGTCTGGAGGGCCATTCCCTACGTTAAAGGGATCCCTGAGGCGGTCTCTCGATTGTTACAACCTGCCAGAGTAGGCATAGCCCACCGACCCCAGGCAACAATTCGATGCTGTCTGCTGCAACCTAAGGAAACATTGCCACCCTCCGAAACCTCAGCAATTATTTACAAAATAAATTGCAATGAGGGCGACTGCAACTATGTGGGAGAAACCGGGCGGAAATTGCAGACTAGCCTACACGAGTGCAAATCGGCTACTCAGAGGTTAGACCCGAACTCGAAATTAGAAACACACGTTATAGAAACTGGGCATACTTTCGAAATCCAGCGAGCTACCATCTTCGGCCGGGGCAACACAAAAGCAGAACGGCTAACTCTCGAGGCGTGGTTCTCCGATGCCCACTCCATCAACAGGCATCTGGACCTTCATGCAGCTTACAAAGTCCTACGTCATCACAATCGTAGAGCTCAGGACCAAACAACCACTCCGGACTTAAGACGGCCATACGGAGACAGCCCAACGGCGAGTTTACTCCGTGAAAAAGAACAAGAACCGCCAGACCGACCATCCGACACTGGTTCAATCACCTCCCCCCGACGGAGTGGTGACTCAGAAAGCACGCAGCAAAACGCCCGTCAACCATCCCCTGAGAGGCTGAGGCAGCGATAGGTAAGAAAAATCGATCTACACGAGGCTGACCAACGTGGCACGCCACTTGGGATTTCTGATCGATAAAGTGCATTTTACGCTTTGACAATGGAGAGCCGACCAAGCTCTTCGAAACGTCAGCATATAAATAAACCTGTTCTGGTGAGCCACTCTTCTTCTTCTTCAAATTAAGTCTAATGTGCTGTCTCATGAAATAGTAGCCAACATTCTCAAATAACTCGGGTTTGAAAAGATTGCTTAAGTAGGTTTGTGATAATATTTTTTGTACAGCACAATTCGCACACACATCAGTCACATCAAGATGCTGGCTTTTAAAAATAGATGTACTTCCTGCTGCCTGCATATACTGCACATCGTAAGAAAAGACAAATTTTGTGGTATTAATTTTCCACAATGAATTTTGGTGTTCTTACAAATGCAAAAACATTTTTGCAGAAAACATGCACGAAAATATTCGTCCCCTTGCTCGTTCGATCGCAAATTTCGTCTTCTTGAAATGTTATGCTTAGGAAGGGATATCATCTGATTAAAACCAGTTCCTACTTCAAACATTTTTAAGACTGCCAGATGTTCAATTATTTCGGCAGGTTTATTAATGCTGCTTATAATGTGGGCAATATTGGAAACTTCTATAGGCGCTCTATGATATCCTCTCAAAAGCATATAAGAATGCACAATTTTGCCCAAATGGAAAGCATGCAGGTAGCAGTTCTGAAAATTAAAGTGCAGCCGCAGCGGCAGGTCAGCTTCAAATTATTTTGAAATTGAATCTGTTATCTAAACCGGATTATACAATTTGCAATTATGCAATTAATTTGGAGATCTGTGGTGAGGTGCCCGACTAATTTGCCTTTCAGAAGACGAGGTGTCGAGCATACGTAGCTTTCGATGGATTCTCGTCGTCGGACCAGTACAGTTATATGGGAACGGGGTAGAAGTAAAACATGTCAGCGATAAGAGAAATCGATAAAAGTTCGTCTTAAAACACAGGCGGGATGTGGGATTGTGGGGAGGGGGGTAATAGTAGTCATTGTCAGGGCCGGGGTGAGAGCGGAAGTGCGCGGGGGGGGGAGTTGCACCGTTAGTCAACCTTCGACCACTGTTGGCGCGGAGCCTGAACGTGGTTCTTCTGTTCGCATAAGGCCGGCTTTCTTAACCTAATGGCGGCCGCTTCCGCTGTCGCTAACAGACGCTGGCCTAGTAGCTTAGGATAGCTCGATGGGACCTTATACATCACGCGAAAAGCTTCGTTGGTGTCCACACGATGTCCGGAATCGACCACATGCGCGAGAATGGAGCTGCTTATACTCCTCGTTTCGCCTTTTCCCAGCCATGCCGGGAGGTGTTCGCGTATTCTCTTGGATAAGCGCCGACTCGTACGACCAATATAACCTGCTCCACAGGAGCAAGTGAAGCAATATATGCACATTGAGGTGGCAAATCAGGCACATCCGTCGATCAAATTCACGCTGAAGATCGAAACGGCCGGTTCGCTCCCTTTCTTAGATGTTCTTCTAAGCAGGAGACCTGACGGGATTGTCCGAAGAAGCGTCTATCGGAAGAAAACCTGGTCTGGACAATACACGAACTTTGCCAGTTTCGTGCCCCTCCAACAAACACGAAATCTAGTTCAATGTCTGGCACAAAGAGCTAGAAAAATTTGCTCAACAGATAGCATCGAGGAGGAGATCAGAAAAATCCAGGACTTCCTTTGAGAAAACGGGTATCCTGACAGGTTCATTGCAAAGAACATTGCCGAAAGACCGGTCAAACTAGCCACATCGACCGCTGAAAAGAAAACTTTATTCCTCAAAGTCCCTTTCCAAGGGGACGCGACGAGTGAACTCCTAAGGAGACGCCTTGATCAAGCTGTCTAGCGAACCTTCCCAGCCGCAGGATTCAAATATCATTCTCTACTAACCCTTATTTTACGCGGGGAGGGAAAGGATAAGTTGCCACCGCAGACCACCTCAATGTGCATATATTCCTTCACTTGCTCATGTGGAGCAGGTTATATTGGTCGCACGAGTCGGCGCTTATCCAAGAGAATACGCGAACACCTCCCGGCATGACTGGGAAAAGGCGAAACGAGGAGTATAAGCAGCGCCATTCTCGCGCATGTGGTCGATTCCGGACATCGTGTGGACACCAACGAAGCTTTTCGCGTGATGTATAAGGTCCCATCGAGCTATCCTAAGCTACTAGGCCAGCGTCTGTTAGCGACAGCGGAAGCGGCCGCCATTAGGTT